CAACTGTAGGGTTTGTGTGTGTGTGTGTGTGTTCCAACTGTAGGGTTAGTGTGTGTGTGTGTGTGTGCCAACTGTAGGGTTTGTGTGTGTGTGTGTGTGTTCCAACTGTAGGGTTTGTGTGTGTGTGTGTGTGTTCCAACTGTAGGGTTAGTGTGTGTGTGTGTGTGTGTGTGTTCCAACTGTAGGGTTAGTGTGTGTGTGTTCCAACTGTAGGGTTAGTGTGTGTGTGTTCCAACTGTAGGGTTTGTGTTGTGTGTGTGTGTGTGTGTGTGTGTGTGTGTAACAACTGTAGGGTTAGTGTTGTGTGTGTGTGTGTGTTCCAACTGTAGGGTTTGTGTGTGTGTGTGTGTGTGTGTGTGTTCCAACTGTAGGGTTAGTGTGTGTGTGTGTGTGTGTGTGTTCCAACTGTAGGGTTTGTGTGTGTGTGTGTGTTCCAACTGTAGGGTTAGTGTGTGCGTGTGTGTGTGTTCCAACTGTAGGGTTAGTGTGTGCGTGTGTGTGTGTAACAACTGTAGGGTTTGTGTGTGTGTGTGTGTGTTCCAACTGTAGGGTTAGTGTGTGCGTGTGTGTGTGTAACAACTGTAGGGTTAGTGTTGTGTGTGTGTGTGTGTGTGCCAACTGTAGGGTTAGTGTTGTGTGTGTGTGTGTGTGTGTGTGTGTGTGCCAACTGTAGTGTTGTGTGTGTGTGTGTGTGTGTGTGCCAACTGTAGGGTTAGTGTTGTGTGTGTGTGTGCCAACTGTAGGGTTAGTGTGTGTGTGTGTGTGTGTGTGTTCCAACTGTAGGGTTAGTGTGTGTGTGTGTGTGTTCCAACTGTAGGGTTAGTGTGTGTGTGTGTGTGTGTGTTCCAACTGTAGGGTTAGTGTTGTGTGTGTGTGTGTGTGTGTTCCAACTGTAGGGTTTGTGTTGTGTGTGTGTGTGTGTGTTCCAACTGTAGGGTTAGTGTGTGTGCGTGTGTGTGTTCCAACTGTAGGGTTAGTGTGTGTGCGTGTGTGTGTTCCAACTGTAGGGTTTGTGTGTGTGTGTGTGTGTGTTCCAACTGTAGGGTTTGTGTGTGTGTGTGTTCCAACTGTAGGGTTAGTGTTGTGTGTGTGTGTGTGTGTGTGTGTGCCAACTGTAGGGTTAGTGTTGTGTGTGTGTGTGTAACAACTGTAGGGTTAGTGTTGTGTGTGTGTGTGTGTGTAACAACTGTAGGGTTAGTGTTGTGTGTGTGTGTTCCAACTGTAGGGTTTGTGTGTGTGTGTGTGTGTTCCAACTGTAGGGTTTGTGTGTGTGTGTGTGTGTTCCAACTGTAGGGTTAGTGTGTGTGTGTGTGTGTGTTCCAACTGTAGGGTTTGTGTGTGTGTGTGTGTGTTCCAACTGTAGGGTTTGTGTGTGTGTGTGTGTGTGTTCCAACTGTAGGGTTAGTGTGTGTGTGTGTGTGTGTGTGTGTGCCAACTGTAGGGTTAGTGTGTGTGTGTTCCAACTGTAGGGTTAGTGTGTGTGTGTTCCAACTGTAGGGTTTGTGTTGTGTGTGTGTGTGTGTGTGTAACAACTGTAGGGTTAGTGTTGTGTGTGTGTGTGTGTGTTCCAACTGTAGGGTTTGTGTGTGTGTGTGTGTGTGTGTGTGTGTTCCAACTGTAGGGTTAGTGTGTGTGTGTGTGTGTGTGTGTGTGTTCCAACTGTAGGGTTTGTGTGTGTGTGTGTGTTCCAACTGTAGGGTTAGTGTGTGCGTGTGTGTGTGTTCCAACTGTAGGGTTAGTGTGTGCGTGTGTGTGTGTAACAACTGTAGGGTTTGTGTGTGTGTGTGTGTGTTCCAACTGTAGGGTTAGTGTGTGCGTGTGTGTGTGTAACAACTGTAGGGTTAGTGTTGTGTGTGTGTGTGTGTGTGCCAACTGTAGGGTTAGTGTTGTGTGTGTGTGTGTGTGCCAACTGTAGGGTTAGTGTTGTGTGTGTGTGTGCCAACTGTAGGGTTAGTGTTGTGTGTGTGTGTGCCAACTGTAGGGTTAGTGTTGTGTGTGTGTGTGCCAACTGTAGGGTTAGTGTTGTGTGGGGGTGTGTGTGTAACAACTGTAGGGTTAGTGTTGTGTGTGTGTGTGTGTGTGTGTAACAACTGTAGGGTTAGTGTTGTGTGTGTGTGTGTGTGTGTAACAACTGTAGGGTTAGTGTTGTGTGTGTGTGTAACAACTGTAGGGTTAGTGTTGTGTGTGTAACAACTGTAGATTCAGATTCAGTTTATTTGCCATTTGCAGTAAAAAAAACCACATTGGAATACATTAGCAAAAGTCTCCAGTGTGCACAGACAAATACAGACATAAAACAACATTAAAAGACAGAAATAAAACAAATAAAACAGTAAACAAATGTCACTGTGAAATCGATCGACTAAAACAGTTCAAAACAAGTGCAAATCATTAAAGTGCTTTGTTCACACTGATAACAGCCTGTGGATAAAAACTGTTAGCGTAACGAGATGTCCTGCATCTCAGAGAGCGATATCTTCTGCCAGAGGGAAGAAGCTGGAACATGGCTTTCCCAGGGTGGCCAGAAGAGTCATTGACAATCCTAAGAGCTTTGTTTAAAAGTCTGGATTTATAAAGAACCTCCAGAACAGGAAGCTCACAGCCCACGGTCCTCTTTGCAGAGCGGAGCACCTTGTTTAAATCTCTCTTTTCTTTATCTGTGATGTTTCCAAACCACACAGACACAGAACCAACAAGTAAACTCTCAATGGTGCAGCCATAAAAGTTAAGCACAATCTTAGAGTTAGTGGTAAATTCTCTAAGTTTCCGCAGAAAGTAGAGACGCTGACGAGCTTTCTTTACGACCCGGTCAGTGTTTTTAACCCATTTCAGGTTAGACAGAGTTAAACCCAGAAACTTGCTCCTCTACGATCTGCACCTGGGAGTTGTCGATTACGACAGGCAAATGAGAACTATTGCGACTGAAGTCGTGACCAGTTCACATGTTTTGGATGCGTTCAACTGGAGGTTGTTAGTTTGACTCCACTGAACCACATTTTGTATCTCTGCTCTATAAGAGGATTCATCAGTGTCACTGATGAGACTGATGATGGTGGTGTCATCAGCATATTTGATGATCAAGTTTGAGTCAGAGGAGGACACACAATCGTGAGTGTACAAAGTAAAAAGCAAAGGACTCAAAATACATCCCTGAGGAGAACCAGTGCTCACAGAAACAACATCAGAAAAACACTCATTGATTTTCACTCTCTGAGATCTGTCAGTTAAAAAGCTATAGATCCATTTACACATGGCAACACTTAAACCCAGAGACATGAGCTTTTCCATCAGTTTACCTGGGACAAGGCAGTTAAAAGCAGAGCTATAATCGATGAAAAGCATTCTGGCCACAGATTTACTATTGTCCAAGTGACTGTAGACAGAGTTCAGAGCAAAGGAGATGCATCCTCCACACTCCTGTTCTGTCTGTAGCAAACTGGAGCGGGTCAACACTCACAGGGTTCTGGCTCTTAATGAAGTCCAGCACAAGCCGCTCAAAAGTCTTCATAAGAACAGACGTGAGGGCCACAGGACGATAGTCATTCAGGCATGTCACAGGAGTTTTCTTAGGAACTGGAATGATGGTCGACTCTTTAAAGCAGTTCGGCACAGTACAGTTCCTTAGCGACAGGTTGAAAATGTCTGTTAGCACAGGGGCAAGTTGCTCAGAGCACAGTTTCAGGACACGAGGAGGGATGCCGTCCGGGCCTGGGGCTTTCCGGACTGTGGTCCTGGACAAGACACGCCTGACTTCCTCCTGAGTCACGGTGAAGGTACCTTGATTGAAACACTCAGGGAATACAGTAGGACAGGCATCAGCGGATTCAAAGCGACAGTAGAACGTGTTCAGCTCGTTTGGCAGAGCTTGGCCGACAGATGCAGTTTTCCCAGCACTAGGTTTCCACGATGTGATGGCTTTAATACCGTTCCACATGCGCCGAGGGTCATCTTCCTCAAAATAACTCTTTAACCTGTCCCCGTAACTGCGCTTTGCAGATTTAATAAAACGTTTCAATGAGTAACAGGATAGTTTATAAGCAACTGTATCATTGGATTGAAACGCCAACGCACGCTCATGAAGTTTCAGTTTCACTTCCGCGTTCATCGAAGAGTTTTGACTAAAATGTTCTTTAATGACCTTCTGTGGGACACAGCAGTCAATACAGAAGTGTATGTATCCAGACACAGCGTCACAGAATTCATTGACGTCCTCTGACTGAAACACAGACCAGTCCGTAGCATCAAAACAACCTTGTAGCTTCATGCTAGCCTCCTCAGACCAACACTGCACAGTGCGAGAGGTTGGTTTATGTTCCCTGCTCCTCTGAGTATACGAAGGAAGAAGGAGAACAGAGGAGTGGTCAGACTTTCCAAAAGGAGGTCTGAGACTGGACCTGTAAGCTCCCTTCACGGTACTGTAGCAGTGATCCAGAACATGTGGATCACTGTATGTTATGTTGGTAAAAGTTCGGGAGTACAGTTGTACTGTGTGTGTGTTCCAACTGTAGGGTTAGTGTTGCTAGAGAAGGTGTGTGTGTGTTGCCAGAGGTGTCCGTGTGAGTGTATTGTCAGAGAAGGTGTGTGTGTGTTGCCAGAGAAGGTGTGTGTTGCCAGAGACTGTGTGTTGCCAGAGAAGGTGTGTGTGTGTTGCCAGAGAAGGTGTGTGTGTGTGTTGCCAGAGACTATGTTTGTGTGTTACCAGAGAAGGTGTGTGTGTGTGTTGCCAGAGACGGTGTGTTTGTGTGTGTTGCCAGAGAAGATGTGTGTGTGTTGCCAGAGACTATGTTTGTGTGTTACCAGAGAAGGTGTGTGTGTGTGTTGCCAGAGACGGTGTGTTTGTGTGTGTGTGTTGCCAGAGAAGGTGTGTGTGTGTGTTGCCAGAGACGGTGTGTTTGTGTGTGTGTGTTGCCAAAGACGGTGTGTTTGTGTTGCCAGAAAAAGTTGACCCACAAAAGGTTCCGTATCCGCAACATTTGTTTCTCTGCTCTTTTCAAAACATTTCAAAGTAAAAAAGCATCAGTTTGAGGCTTCAAGAGTGAGACGTCTGCTGGACTTCCTGCACACACAAATACACACACACATTCAGACTAACGCACACACACATATGCATATAGATAAACACACACACATACAACTCAACAAAAATACAAAAGCAACACGTTTGTTTTTCATGAGGTGGACTTAAAGATCTAAACTTAATTCCAGATACACAATATTACCATTCTCTCAAACAAATCTGCTATATCTGGGTCTGGGACTCAGAACCAGTCAGTATATGGGTCTGTGGACTAACCCCACCACCATGGACCATACCATCCACAACATTGGCATCAGCAAAGCGCTCACACGACGCCGCTGTCTGCCCTGAACACTACAAATCCAGATTCATCCGTGAAGACAACACCTCCAACGTGTCGGACGCCACGAGTCAGGTCCAGACCCCGATGAGGACGAGCTGGAGTCAGGTCCAGACCCCGATGAGGACGAGCTGGAGTTAGGTCCAGACCCCGAGACCCGATGAGGACGAGCTGGAGTCAGGTCCAGACCCCGATGAGGACGAGCTGGAGTCAGGTCCAGACCCCGAGACCCGATGAGGACGAGCTGGAGTTTCCCTGAGACGGTCTCTGACAGTTTGTGCTGTGTTGGTGCAAACCAATAGTTTCAGCAGCTCTTAGTGTCTCAGACGATCTTGGAGGTGAACCTGCTGGACGTGGAGGTCCTGGGTTGGACGTGGAGGTCCTGGGCTGGACGTGGAGGTCCTGGGCTGGACATGGAGGTCCTGGGCTGGACATGGAGGTCCTGGGCTGGACGTGGAGGTCCTGGGCTGGACGTGGAGGTCCTGGGTTGGACGTGGAGGTCCTGGGCTGGACGTGGAGGTCCTGGGCTGGACGTGGAGGTCCTGGGTTGGACGTGGAGGTCCTGGGCTGGACGTGGAGGTCCTGGGTTGGACGTGGAGGTCCTGGGCTGGACGTGGAGGTCCTCGGTTGGACGTGGTAGTCCTGGGCTGGACGTGGAGGTCCTGGGCTGGACGTGGAGGTCCTGGGTTGGACGTGGAGGTCCTGGGCTGGACGTGGAGGTCCTGGGTTGGACATGGAGGTCCTGGGCTGGACGTGGAGGTCCTGGGTTGGACGTGGAGGTCCTGGGCTGGACGTGGAGGTCCTGGGCTGGACGTGGAGGTCCTGGGCTGGACATGGAGGTCCTGGGCTGGACGTGGAGGTCCTGGGCTGGACATGGAGGTCCTGGGTTGGACGTGGAGGTCCTGGGCTGGACGTGGAGGTCGTCGGTTGGACGTGGTGGTCCTGGGCTGGACGTGGAGGTCCTGGACTGGACGTGGAGGTCCTGGGTTGGAGCTTCAGGAGCGTCAGGAGCTTCAGGAGCGTCAGGAGCTTCAGGAGCGTCAGGATCGTCAGGAGCGTCAGGAGCGTCAGGAGCGTCAGGAGCGTCAGGAGCTTCAGGAGCTTCAGGAGCGTCAGGAGCTTCAGGAGCGTCAGGATCGTCAGGAGCTTCAGGAGCGTCAGGAGCGTCAGGAGCGTCAGGAGCGTCAGGAGCGTCAGGAGCGTCAGGAGCTTCAGGAGCGTCAGGAGCGTCAGGAGCTTCAGGAGCGTCAGGAGCGTCAGGATCGTCAGGAGCGTCAGGAGCGTCAGGAGCGTCAGGATCGTCAGGAGCGTCAGGAGCGTCAGGATCGTCAGGAGCGTCAGGAGCGTCAGGAGCGTCAGGATCGTCAGGAGCGTCAGGAGCGTCAGGAGCGTCAGGAGCGTCAGGAGCGTCAGGAGCGTCAGGAGCTTCAGGAGCTTCAGGAGCGTCAGGAGCTTCAGGAGCTTCAGGAGCGTCAGGAGCTTCAGGAGCGTCAGGAGCTTCAGGAGCGTCAGGAGCTTCAAGCACCAAAATTACAAAAAAAAAGCTGGCGTCAGTTGAAGCGCGTCAAAAGCTTTTTGAAGCTTTTGGTCTGAACGCACCATAACACACACACACATGCCTATAGACATGCACACACGTGCACACACACATGCCTATAGACATGCACACACGCGCACATACACATGCCTATAGACATGCACACACGCGCACACACACATGCATATAGACATGCACACACGCGCACACACACATGCCTATAGACATGCACACACGCGCACACACACATGCCTATAGACATGCACACACGCGCACACACACATGCCTACAGACATGCACACACGCGCACACACACATGCATATAGACATGCACACACGCGCAAACACACATGCCTATAGACATGCACACACGCGCACACACACATGCCTATAGACATGCACACACGCGCACACACACATGCATATAGACATGCACACACACGCACACACACATGCATATAGACATGCACACACGCGCACACACACATGCATATAGACATGCACACACGCGCACACACACATGCCTATAGACATGCACACACGCGCACACACACATGCATATAGACATGCACACACGCGCACACACACATGCCTATAGACATGCACACACGCGCACACACACATGCATATAGACATGCACACACGCGCACACACACATGCATATAGACATGCACACACGCGCACACACACATGCATATAGACATGCACACACGCGCACACACAGACAAAAAACACCATTTACAAACAAATGTGTAATTTGTCCAACAGAAACAGTTTAGTCAAAGTAAAATACTGTCTCCGACTCATCAGAAAACTGCTGATTGGCTGAGAGCTGATTGGCTGAGAGCTGATTGGCTGAGAGCCGATTGGCTGAGAACTGATTGGCTGAGAACTGATTGGCTGAGAGCTGATTGGCTGAGAGCTGATCGGCTGAGAGCTGATTGGCTGAGAGCTGATTGGCTGAGAGCTGATCGGCTGAGAGCTGATTGGCTGAGAGCTGATTGGCTGAGGGAGGCTGGTCCTCTCTTTGATTTAAAGATGTGACAGAGACAGAAACACATGAAACTAGAGACAGAGACATGGGTTTAATAGAGAGGTCTGAAAGTTACATACGTCAGCTTTATTTTTTGCAAAAAACTAAGTCAGATTTGTCCCTGACTCTGTCCTGTCTCCTGCTGTGAGAGTGCTGCAGGGCGAGGACAGGCTGTTCCTTCTGTGTGTGTGTGTGTGTGTGTGTGTGTCTGTGTGTGTGTGTGTGTGTGTGTGTGTGTGTGTGTGTGTGTGTGTGTGTGTGTGTGTGTGTGTGTGTGTGTGTGTGTGTGTGTGTGTGTGTGTGTGTGTGTGTGTGTGTGTGTGTGTGTGTGTGTGTGTGTGTGTGTGTGTGTGTGTGTGTCTCTGTTTCTGTGTCTGTGTTTGAAAGGGGGGGGAGGGTGTAAAAGCTTTGGGTGGAGATTCAAACAGCTGTGACTCGGGCTCGGAGCGTCCAATCAGTCTCTCCCTGGTCTCTCTCCCTGGTCTCTCTCCCTGGTCTCTCCCTGGTCTCTCTCTGGTCTCTCTCTGGTCTCTCTCTGGTCTCTCTCTGGTCTCTCTCTGGTCTCTCTCTGGTCTCTCTCTGGTCTCTCTCTGGTCTCTCTCTGGTCTCTCTCTGGTCTCTCTCTGGTCTCTCCCTGGTCTCTCTCTGGTCTCTCTCTGGTCTCTCTCCCTGGTCTCTCTCCCTGGTCTCTCTCCCTGGTCTCTCTCCCTGGTCTCTCTCCCTGGTCTCTCTCCCTGGTCTCTCTCCCTGGTCTCTCTCCCTGGTCTCTCCCTGGTCTCTCCCTGGTCTCTCCCTGGTCTCTCCCTGGTCTCTCTCTGGTCTCTCCCTGGTCTCTCTCTGTCTATCTCTGGTCTCTCTCTGGTCTCTCTCTGGTCTCTCTCTGGTCTCTCTCTGGTCTCTCTCTGGTCTCTCTCTGGTCTCTCTCTGGTCTCTCTCTGGTCTCTCTCTGGTCTCTCTCTGGTCTCTCTCTGGTCTCTCTCTGGTCTCTCCCTGGTCTCTCCCTGGTCTCTCCCTGGTCTCTCTCTGGTCTCTCTCTGGTCTCTCTCTGGTCTCTCTCTGGTCTCTCTCTGGTCTCTCTCTGGTCTCTCTCTGGTCTCTCTCTGGTCTCTCTCTGGTCTCTCTCTCTGGTCTCTCCCTGGTCTCTCCCTGGTCTCTCCCTGGTCTCTCCCTGGTCTCTCCCTGGTCTCTCTCTGGTCTCTCTCCCTGGTCTCTCCCTGGTCTCTCTCTGGTCTCTCTCCCTGGTCTCCCTCTGGTCTCTCCCCTCTGGTCTCTCCCCTCTGGTCTCTCCCCTCTGGTCTCTCTCCTCTGGTCTCTCCCCTCTGGTCTCTCTCCTCTGGTCTCTCCCCTCTGGTCTCTCCCCTCTGGTCTCTCTCCTCTGGTCTCTCTCCTCTGGTCTCTCACCTCTGGTCTCTCTCCTCTGGTCTCTCCCCTCTGGTCTCTCCCCTCTGGTCTCTCTCCTCTGGTCTCTCTCCTCTGGTCTCTCTCCTCTGGTCTCTGGTATAATACTATAAATGCATCTTCACTTGGGCCTGACATTACCCCTACTCTCTCTGTGTCAATCGTGTGTTTGTATCGTGTATATGTGTGTGTCTGTGTGTGTGTCATTTGTATATGTGTGTGTCTGTATTGTGTGTCTGTGTGTGTGTCATTTGTATATGTGTGTGTCTGTATTGTGTGTGTCTGTGTGTGTGTAATGGTTGCTCCTCTCCAGAGCTCTCAGACACTCGAGAAGCCGCGGCGTGTGGCAGTGACTCAGAAACTCGTCTCATCTTCCATTAGCCCGAGTCGAGACCATAAAAGACCAGAGTGGGGACCAGAGAAAGACCAGAGAAAGACCAGAGAAAGACCAGAGAAAGACCAGAGTGAGTCCGGGTCGAAGCTCCTTCAAAGACGCTAATGGAGCTCCTCAGAGGGTAGCTCACTGTTCTCCTCTGAATGATGTTTGTATGATTTATAGATCCACATGACTCAGACCAACAGCATCTCTCTCTCTGGTCTCTCTCTGGTCTCTCTCTGGTCTCTCTCTGGTCTCTCTCTGGTCTCTCTCTTGTCTCTCTCTGGTCTCTCTCTCTGGTCTCTCTCTCTGGTCTCTCTCTGGTCTCTCTCTCTGGTCTCTCTCTCTGGTCTCTCTCTCTCTGGTCTCTCTCTCTGGTCTCTCTCTCTGGTCTCTCTCTCTGGGTCTCTCTCTCTGGTCTCTCTCTCTGGTCTTTCTCTCTGGTTAAAGTTGCCTTCATCCTTCAATGCCACCTGAAAGTCTTCACCTGGTACATGGTTGGTGGATTCATGGTCTGAACCAAGTGGATCAGCTGAAAATCCACTGGAGGAATGCTGACTTTTTGAAAAATGCTAATGAAGCATTTAGCATTTTACTTTGAACCAGAGCAGAGAAAATGGTCTGAACCCAGAGGCTACTCCACCTCTGCTGCTGTGACCCGTCCTGCTCCACCCAGAGGCTACTCCACCTCTGCTGCTGTGACCCGTCCTGCTCCACCCAGAGGCTACTCCACCTCTGCTGATGTGACCCGTCCTGCTCCACCCAGAGGCTACTCCACCTCTGCTGCTGTGACCCGTCCTGCTCCACCCAGAGGCTACTCCACCTCTGCTGCTGTGACCCGTCCTGCTCCACCCAGAGGCTACTCCACCTCTGCTGCTGTGACCCGTCCTGCTCCACCCAGAGGCTACTCCACCTCTGCTGCTGTGACCCGTCCTGCTCCACCCAGAGGCTACTCCACCTCTGCTGCTGTGACCCGTCCTGCTCCACCCAGAGGCTACTCCACCTCTGCTGCTGTGACCGTCCTGCTCCACCCAGAGGCTACTCCACCTCTGCTGCTGTGACCCGTCCTGCTCCACCCAGAGGCTACTCCACCTCTGCTGCTGTGACCCGTCCTGCTCCACCCAGAGGCTACTCCACCTCTGCTGCTGTGACCCGTCCTGCTCCACCCAGAGGCTACTCCACCTCTGCTGCTGTGACCCGTCCTGCTCCACCCAGAGGCTACTCCACCTCTGCTGCTGTGACCCGTCCTGCTCCACCCAGAGGCTACTCCACCTCTGCTGCTGTGACCCGTCCTGCTCCACCCAGAGGCTACTCCACCTCTGCTGCTGTGACCCGTCCTGCTCCACCCAGAGGCTACTCCACCTCTGCTGCTGTGACCCGTCCTGCTCCACCCAGAGGCTACTCCACCTCTGCTGCTGTGACCCGTCCTGCTCCACCCAGAGGCTACTCCACCTCTGCTGCTGTGACCCGTCCTGCTCCACCCAGAGGCTACTCCACCTCTGCTGCTGTGACCCGTCCTGCTCCACCCAGAGGCTACTCCACCTCTGCTGCTGTGACCCGTCCTGCTCCACCCAGAGGCTACTCCACCTCTGCTGCTGTGACCCGTCCTGCTCCACCCAGAGGCTACTCCACCTCTGCTGCTGTGACCCGTCCTGCTCCACCCAGAGGCTACTCCACCTCTGCTGCTGTGACCCGTCCTGCTCCACCCAGAGGCTACTCCACCTCTGCTGCCTCTGACCCGTCCTGCTCCACCCAGAGGCTACTCCACCTCTGCTGCTGTGACCCGTCCTGCACCACCCAGAGGCTACTCCACCTCTGCTGCTGTGACCCGTCCTGCTCCACCCAGAGGCTACTCCACCTCTGCTGCTGTGACCTGTCCTGCTCCACCCAGAGGCTACTCCACCTCTGCTGCTCTGACCCATCCTGCTCCACCCAGAGGCTACTCCACTTCTGCTGCTGTGACCCGTCCTGCTCCACCCAGAGGCTACTGCACCTCTGCTGCTGTGACCCGTCCTGCTCCACCCAGAGGCTACTCCACCTCTGCTGCTGTGACCCGTCCTGCTCCACCCAGAGGCTACTCCACCTCTGCTGCTGTGACCCGTCCTGCTCCACCCAGAGGCTACTCCACCTCTGCTGCTGTGACCCGTCCTGCTCCACCCAGAGGCTACTCCACCTCTGCTGCTGTGACCCGTCCTGCTCCACCCAGAGGCTACTCCACCTCTGCTGCTCTGACCCGTCCTGGAGAATGATCTATTTTATTTTTATTTTTGCTGCTATTGGACACCTGAATTTATCCGACGGGGATCAATAAAGTATCTATCTATGTATTTGTAGTTGAAAAGGCAGCACCTGGAGGGAACCTCTGCCTACACGAGGAGAATGTGGGAACTCCGGCTTCGGCTCCGGGACGAGGAAGCAGCTTTTAGGACACGGGAAAATTCCATCCAACGTGATTTTGGAGCTGAGCCGTCTGACCCAGATCAGGACAGGAGAGTTTGGGAGGCACGTGTCGCTGGTCCTGGGGCGGGGTGAGGAGACCGGGGGAGGGAGGGGGGAGGGAGGGGGGAGGCAGGGATGAGGAGACCGGGGGAGGGAGGGGGGAGGCAGGGATGAGGAGACCGGGGGAGGGAGGGGGGAGGCAGGGATGAGGAGACCGGGGGAGGGAGGGGGGAGGAGACCGGGGGAGGAGACCAGGGGAGACCAGAGGGGGTCAGGAGACCGGGGGAGGGTGGGGGGGAGGAGACCGCGAGAGGGAGGGGGGAGGAGGAGGAGGAGAGAGACCAGAGAGAGACCAGAGAGTAAGAGACCACAGAGAGAGAGAGAGACCAGCGAGAGAGAAACCAGAGGACCCACCAGGACCTCTCCCTCTGAGGTCACAATTCCTTCACTTTTCTCGCTGCAGATAAACTCTTTGATAATCCCATGTTCTGAGCTGAGTCATGTTCTGTCGCTGACACAGATTACACGTGGATTAGGATTAGCCTCGTTAGCTTCGTTAGCCTCGTTCATCTTACCCCTGAGGGCTTCCTCTCTTTGGTTGGTCAGACAGGTCAGGATCAGGAAGTGATCCAGAGGAAGCCGTCTGGGTCAATATTTACTTTACAGCCACTCAGAAAAGAGCCACAGCCGCCCTGAGGCCTCTCTCTCTCTCTCTCTGGTCTCTCTCTGGCCTCTCTCTGGCCTCTCTCTGGCCTCTCTCTGGCCTCTCTCTGGCCTCTCTCTGGCCTCTCTCTGGCCTCTCTCTGGCCTCTCTCTGGTCTCTCTCTGGCCTCTCTCTGGCCTCTCTCTGGCCTCTCTCTGGCCTCTCTCTGGCCTCTCTCTGGCCTCTCTCTGGTCTCTCTCTGGCCTCTCTCTCTCTGGCCTCTCTCTGGCCTCTCTCTGGCCTCTCTCTGGCCTCTCTCTGGCCTCTCTCTGGCCTCTCTCTGGCCTCTCTCTGGCCTCTCTCTGGCCTCTCTCTGGCCTCTCTCTGGCCTCTCTCTGGCCTCTCTCTGGTCTCTCTCTGGTCTCTCTCTGGTCTCTCTCTGGTCTCTCTCTGGTCTCTCTCTGGTCTCTCTCTGGTCTCTCTCTGGTCTCTCTCTGGTCTCTCTCTGGTCTCTCTCTGGTCTCTCTCTGGTCTCTCTCTGGTCTCTCTCTGGTCTCTCTCTGGTCTCCCTCTGGTCTGCCTCTGGTCTCCCTCTGGTCTGCCTCTGGTCTCCCTCTGGTCTCTCTTCATTATCTGTGATTATATTAAGTGAGCTCCATTTGAATCAGTTAAAATCCTCTTGAATCAAGAGCTGAGTCTGATCAGGACCAGGGCTGAGAGGCCGGAGCTGCAGCGCTCTCTGCTGGCAGTGGGAGGTACTACACTCACACACAACCATGACATTCCACTGAAAACACTGAAGAAATGATTAAAGTAAATATGTGGCTAAAATAAAATAAATTTTTCTGAAATATGAGTCATTTTATAAGATTCACACTAGTGACACACACTAGTGACACACACTAGTGACACACAATAGTGACACACAATAGTGACACACACACACACAATACATAACACACAGACACACACACACACACACAATACATAATACACAGACACACATACACAACACATAAGTACAATTACAGCCTTCCCTGATTATGATTTCTCTTTGTTGACACATGTGACCAATCAGGAGGAGTCTGAGCCTGGACTGTTCTTGGCCTCCAACACTCACCCACGAACGTGTCCTTCTGGAACCTTCTCTCAGACCCAGAGACCAGCAGTGATCAGACCACTCCTAAGAACACTTGATCCTGCAGTAGTCCCTGACCATCGGACCATCGGACCATCAAACCTCCTCTTTCAGCGGAGAGACTTCCTGCTGTTCAATAACACTTATGACCTGGTCCAACAGGACAAGGGTCTCAGTGCTGGTCCTCTTGACACTGTGGACCATGTGGACCTCCTGCAGGGGCTGGAGGATAGGACGTATTATGTTGAGATTGGAGACTGAGACCACATGGCCTTGACATGTGGAGTGCCACAGGGATCAACCCTGGGACCACTCCTGTTCAATATCTACATGTCTGCATTGGGTCAGAGAAATGGGAAGAACTTTCATTAACACGCAGATGTAACGGGTGCGTGAGTTTGAATACACTCTCGGTGCACACCCGTTAACCCTTTTAATTAGTGAATTCTGCGTTGTGTTCTTTGTTTCTTGTTCTGCGCTGGCTGATTAAGGACCACAACACATGTAGGATCACTGGTTGAATTTATCTGCAGTTCTGCACAACAAAAAAAGAAAACACAAATCCTCATGGTCTTTCTCTCCATACCATGGATCTCTAATACCTGGATAGGGTATAACTAGCTTATAGCTATCCCACCCATGGCCACAGGGGGCGCTGTGGTACTGCAGACTAAATTCACGAGGGCTACCCAGAAAAAAGTCCCATAGAACTTGATGTAAATTAAAACAGCTCGACCTCAGCTGACAGAGAACCTGACAGAGAACCTACAGCTTTCATAAAGATCTGATTTTGTGGGGATTTTAATGTCCCTTGTCGTCCTGAACTGTTTTTCTTCTTAAATCCTTCGGTTTTCTTTAAATCCACACTTTACTGCCACAAACTCTGCTCCTTTCCTTCCCGCTCTGCTGCTCCTCTGATGATCAGCTCTGATTGGTCAGAGCACGGCCGAGCCCCTCTGCGCGCGTGCATGAGAGCCCCACACGCATATTTGGCGCAAAGCATCATGGGAGCTCGTCGGAAGGAAAAATGCCGTCGTCATCGGCAGGTAGAGGAAGAGGCAAACACGCGGGAGCTTTAAACCCAGACCGTCCACCGCCTGTTCTTTTCCCTGAGAGAGATCTGTCTGTGTGGGTCAGAGGTAGGCGGTTGGGCAGGCAACGATATAGATTTAGAAGCGGAGGAGGAAGAGCTCGACAGCAGCGAGTTTCAGTGTGGGCAAAAGGGTTAGGAATGACAGTAGTGGCAGTGATTTGAGTCAGTCTGTATCGAGAGGAGCCACAGATAAACAGATTTATTGTGGTAGTGAGATTTAGTGAAAAGACTCAAGCTAGTGTTACGAAAGCGAGTCCGTTTGCACTTACTGATGACTTAGGAAGAAAGTTGGGTGACATCCGTTCAGCAAAAGTATTGGCAACTTAATGATACAATGTGCAAGTGAAGAACAACATAATAAAGCATTGAGCATGAAAGAGCTGGGAAAGTTTAAAGTGGTTAACACAGGTCAAGTGGGTGCACAGGCAGTAGGCGGCAGTAAAGGAGTGATAACTGGGGTCCGAGTCAGTTTCGAGACAGATGACCTAAAAAGGAACATCAGAGGGAGCACAGTTATAAATGTTTCTAGATTCAAAGTCACAAAGGAAGGAGCTAAAATGGATAGTGAAACAATTCTGGTCGAGTTCTCTGAAAAATTGTTGCCAAGTAAAGTTTTTGTGGGGTTCTTGAGCTACCCGGTGAGGGCCTACATCCCTGAACCATTGAGATGCTTCAATTGTCAGCGATTTGGGCATATTGCATTAAACTGTAAGGAAAAGAAGAGGTGTGCTCGGTGTGGTGGGGGGCATGAGTATGGAAAGTGTGGAGAAGGGGTTCAGCCGTGGTGGGGTTGTGGTGGGGCCCATAGTGTTGCCTATGCCGGGTGTGAGGTCATGACACAAGAGAGGTATGTTCAGAAAGTAAGAGTGGAAAAGAAAGTGTCTTATGCAGAGGCAGTGAGAGTAGTAAAGGGGAATGCTCCGAACACAACAGCTGTGGTGAGGACGCCCGGTCCCCAGAATGATCGTCAGCGTAATAATGGTATGATTATAGACCCCTTGGCATTAGTCACCTTTATTGCTGAGGTAGTAAGTAAGTAATCTTTATTTATATACCGCCTTTTCACTGCACATCGGAGTCTCAAAGCGGTTTACAATTGTGATTTTGTGTGGGGGTGCCAGTACAGGAGGCACATGCCAGACCTATTGTACATATTTTTAGTGGTAGGGGAAACCGGAGCACCCGGAGGAAACCTACGTAGACACGGGGAGAACATGCAAACTCCACTCAGAAAGGCCCTGGTCCAACCGGGATTCGAACCTAGGACCTTCTTGCTGAGAGGCGAGAGTGCTATCCACTCAGCCACCGTGCCGCCGAGGTAGTAAAGGGCATTGCTGAAGTTGAATCTAAAGATGAGAAAATTAAAGTCGTGGTGAGGGCAGCAGCTGATCTACTTGGAGTTTCAGGACTGACATGGGAAAAGGTGAGGGACAACCTCGGTCATCAGTCAAGTCGGGGATCATGATGATTACTCCTTCAATGGAATGCAAGAAGTTTACTGGCCAATGGACAGGAGTTAAAGCATTTTATTAGAGAACTTGATGAACAGCCTGATGTTATTTGTGTCCAGGAGACTTGGCTTAAGCCTTCATTTGATTTTGTTATATATGGTTATGCTGTGATTAGAGGTGATCGAGAGCATGGGGGAGGATGTGCCACATTTATTAGAAGTGATATTACGCACAGGGGGCTGGGAGTAGGTGGCAACCTGGAGTGTAGTGATTGAAATGTGGAATGGAGGGGAATCAATAGTGATCATAAACTTTTATAATCCATGTCGCAGTTTAGATCTTCAGAGTTTACTTTGCATTCAGGGGCAAGATCGGCAGAGAGTTATTTGGTGTGGTGACTTCAATGCCCATAGTGATGTATGGGGCAGTCGAAATACTGATGGCACTGGAAGGATTATAGAGGAGCTAATGGAAGAGCAAAACTTAGTCTGTTTAAAGGATGGGGCAGGTACCAGGTTTAATGCTGTAAATGGGACTGAGTCGGTCTTGGATTTAACCCTTGTGTCGAGTATTTGCGGGAGCCAGCCAGTGGAATGTCAGGTCAGAAACTACCTTGGGGAGTGACCATTACCCTATTTTGAGCAGGGTGGGGGGTAAAGCGTACTTGATACCTAGGGAAGGAGTTCAGAGGTGGGTCTTCTCCAGAGCTGACTGGAAGACATTTCAGAGAATGTGTGAGGAAGGTATGGATAATGTTATTGACTCAGATACCGTAGATAATGATGGAGGCGGTAGAACATTCTATACCTAAAAGTAAACCCGGACAGGGAAGAGCTCTTGTACCGTGGTGGACAGAGGATTGCCAAAAAGCTGTCAGAGCAAGGAACAAAGCATTCAGGCTTTATAGGAGAACTCTTAATATGCAGCATTTGATTCTCTATAAGAAAGCACAAGCCGTTGTTAGAAGGACGGTGAGGCAGGCAAAGAGAGCGAGTTGGAGAGGCTTCTGTTCAAAGATCGGGAGGACCACTCCTGTAGGAGAAGTCTGGAGGATGGTTAAGAGGATGGGAGGAAACAGACCGGATTGGGACTACCCTGTGTTAGTATCAGAGCACGGCACAGCAGTCTCAGATATTGACAAAGCAGAGGTTCTGGCTCAAAACTTTATGGTCCATAGCTCAGGAAACCTGTCAGAAGATGTGGTGAGGAGGAAAGCTCAGACTAGAGCCCAGTATCCTGATGATTTGGCGTGAATGTCTTTAAACCATCATTTGGACTCTCCAATAACTATGGATGAGGTAAACAGGGCACTAAGAAA